CTTCTAGGTGAAGCGTGAGGAGCTCATTCAAAGCCTGACACTGATCACAATATGAAGAGGCATGACAGGAGACGCACGAGGACGGAGAGGGGCTGTTTTAATGAGGAGAGAGAATAATCGCTCACATCTGAGCAAGGACACGTATCACACCACAGAACAAAACCACAACAACACACAAAACAGAGCAAGAGGCCTGGAAGTACTAAACACTGAGACATGAGTCATGACTCCATCTTTAACTAGAAACACAGTATCTTTCCACTACAAACCGCCTCAGCGAGGGGACCAATCACAGAACGGGGAGGGAGCAGCAAGACGATGACGACGTCTATGCGACACACCGAAGCAGTTTGTTTATACCTATGGATCCAACATGGCAGCAGACGCGAAGTTACCTTTCGATGCAGCCTTAGATATTGTTCTAAGTAGTTAAGAACGCAAATAAATCTCGGACCCATCGTCTTCTTCCTCGTCTAATTTCTTTCGCTCTACATACGTCATCTGGTATAATTGAAACGATTGGCTATGAGCTACGTACAGGCGCATTTGATAGACATTCGTAGCACCCAATAAACGGCTCTGGGCATTCGTAAACCACGCCTCAAATACATGTGGCTCCCAGACCCCGTCTCAATGTCAATGAGACGTGGTCTGACGTTAGCCAGGCTACTACAAATCCCAAATTCAAAGGAAACTGTGAGATGAAAAACTTAGTACCTTGCCAACTTAGCACTGTGTTCCTCAAAAGTGTCCGAACACCTGAAATGTACCGTAACTTATTTTTTTCAGTAAAATCATATATTTTGTTAAACAATATTTTTTCTTTAAAGGGATTCTTCACCTCTGGAAAGATGAATGTGTATTTAAAATGGGTTATTTATGTAGAAGAAATGTGAAATTATTTTTGAATTTGGAGCTTTCTAGATTGAGAAAAGCCAGAAAATGTATTTTTGGCTTATGTGGATGAAAGACAACAACTCCCAGAATGCACTTGCTTCGCTGCCCTAGGAGGCCACGCCTACCGGTAACAGAACACAGTTAAACAACAAGTCTAGGCTTCTAGTGAGTCTCCGTGACGAGTCTGCCCGAACATGTGTTTCGAGATCGCCCAAAATGTCCGGGATTCGGCTTTTGCGTTCTACAGTCGCCATTCATCATGTTTACTGAGGCGAGCAGGACGAGTGAGGGCGAGGCCGGTGGCGTGATTACTAATGAGGGACACCTGTGAGACGCACTGGTCTCGTATCTCACACGGAGGAGCGGGAATTTTCTTAGCAATATTAAAACGCACATCAATCGATCACTTGTTTAGCGTTCATGTAAACACGACATTCAGATTCACCAATCGGAATGAATTCAGTTAGATTGAAACAAAAGGTGTCTGGGAAAAAGAGGATGGTAACCCCTACTACTCAGCTTTCTCCACAGAACAAGAACCTGCTAGCTTAGCTTCCAAAAAAAGATGTCTGACACTATGTGTCCATTCTGTGAGTGAGATCCCAGCCTCTATGGGCGGGTTGAGAACATGCGGGACAGCCCCTACTACTGACTGTAGTCTTTAGCCTCTGGCCATAAAATCCTCCGATGACGCAAAATGAAGATTTTTGCGTCATCGGAGGATTTTTCCAGACAAAAAATACATAAATCTCTCGTCTCAGGGGGATATGAGGGGGGAAAGCATGGTCATTTGAAAATACTACAGGTTTCCTACTAATACAAAGCTTAATGCTAAATCCTGAAGTATCCCTTTAATATTTTGTATTTTCAGGGAATTCATATTTTTGAAATAATTATGTTCATTATTCCCCATTAAAAACAATTTTAAAAAAATGAGTTTCAACCAATGCAGTATTTCATGTTATAATAATAATAATAATAGAGACAAGGCCTTTAAAATCCAAATTTTAAAGACAGATTAGTACTATCTGGCAGGAGTAAAAAAAAAAAGAGAGAAACATGTGTAATGCCATGGTGTATATAAAGAGGCTTGTAAATAGTTGTCCCTAGTTGTTTTTAGACATAATAAACGGAAAAGGGAATTTGGGAAAAAATGTATTTCATATAGGGCCCTAATTTTAAGGCATCATAGGCATGTTCACAGCGTGAGACCATTCATAACGCAGTAACATAATGCTGCCTTATAAGATGCACTTGCGGAGAAGGCAATCCCAGAATGCACTTCAAGAAGCTCAGTCTCGAATACGTTGGATCTGTTGTGCATTTACAATGTCAATGTTTGAAAAATGGCTGTTATGATGTTGAAAATGTCACTTTAGATTTAAGAGTGCTTATATTTATGCATATAACCCAGAAGCAACAGACTGACATGGGAACATTCAAGTGCCAGCATGGGAAAAGCTTTGAGGATTCTGGGAATGGAAAATCGAGACACGGTGGGCAATGCAAGGGACCCCAAGAGGGTCACAGCGGGTACTGAGAAAAGACACTAAAATAAACACAAGGGTCATCACTATGGGACTGACTTAACCAGGGAGACACC